CCCCCGCCCCCAGCTCATCACTGATCACTTCAAATAAACCACAGCTCCCCTGGCCTCCCTAACTTACCTCCCAAATGTGTCTGCCAGGAGCGGTATTTTAAAAGGGACATTTTAATGGTAGCAAATAAAAGGATCTCTTTTTTACTTTTCTCTTCCCTCTCTCTTTGTTGCGAGGCTCCTGTTTGCTTTGCTTTAACAAACAGCTGATGGGGTTTGTTTTAAAGGAGCACTAAGAGGAAAAAAAAAATGTACCCACAGGGCAGGCCCAGTGTTAACTGTGGACAAGCCCATGTGTGTGTGTGCTCGTGGGCATGGGCACGTGGGCGGGCCTCCTGAGTGTGCCTGCAGTAATAAATGAGACCTGCTTCAGGTGCAGAAAGCTGGGAGGGGGACAAGAGGAATGCAGGGGCAGATTTACACCTGTCCCTCCAGCTGCTATTGACAACACTTAGAGCCTCCAGAGATGACCCTTGGTGCCGGCTTGTCTGGAAGCCATCAGGGGTAGTTTTGAAGCAGGAATCTTCAAGTGGACCAGAGGGGGAGCTCTGCCCGGCCCTGCCTGCCTTCCAGGCAATGGTAGTGGTGGTGGTGGCCACAGCAATTGTCCTCAAGAGCTGCCCAGTGAGTGGCCTGGCCTCACTGCTTGTCACCCACCCCTGTCCTTCAGCCCATCCCTCCCCATTTCTTGGGTCACACAAATACCATCCCTGACTTGCTCCACCCCGTGGGGGCCTGGCAGGGCAGGGCAGGGCAGGGCGAGGGGTTAGCTGTCCCCTCCCCTCCCCCAGGGCTGGGTCTAGCCCCAGCAATCCTGTGGGATTCCTCGCTCTGCCCTCCAGCCAGCTTCTGCCCCTGCCACCAGCCCCACCGCACCCCGCCCCACTGGCCAGACACTGGAGTGACTGATAACATCCAGATGCCTCTGGAATCTGACTTCCAGGACTCTGCAGGAGCAGGCCGGTGGGCAGCAGCGCCGGCCCTGAGACTTGTTGCCACCTCTCAGAGGCTGATGAAAGCCCCACTCAGCCGGGCCCTTCAGGACAGGGACCCTGGAGCCAGGGCACTCAGAAGGGGTGTTTGACACTCACGCCAGGAACGCCGAGTCCCTGACTCTCCACCCCAGGCCCCACAGAGGTCTAGAGGGCTGAGAGGGGGCAGATGACAGGCCACCAGCCGCCAGGAAGGACAAAGCGGGAGGCCACCGCTTTGCCTGGGAATTAGCAGGGACCAGGCAAGCACAGGCTGTGGCAGCCTCACGGGTAAACCCAGGAGAGGGTGAAAGTGTGTGGCCTACCCGGTGACATTTTTCGGGGGAGTACCAGGATTGAACTCAGGGGCACTGGACCACTGAGCCCCATCTCCAGCTCTGTTTTGTATTTTCTTAGAGACAGGGTCTCACTGAGTTGCTTAGCGCCCTGCTAAGTTGCTGAGGCTGGCTCTGAGCTCCTGATCCTCCTGCCTCAGCCTCCCAAACCGCTAGGATGACAGGCAGGTGCCCCTGCGCACGGCCCCCTGGACATTTTAATTCTTTAACAAAGGTTTTACTAATCATAGAGTTATTTGTGGGATTCATGGGGAGTTGGTCTCAAGAGCCCCGTAGATACCTAAATCTGTGGGTGCTCAAACCCCTTATTTCAAAGGTCCTAGCATTTGCACTTACAGATGCAAGACCCTGAGGATATTGAGGGCCAGGGCACAGGTGCTAGAAGCGGACAGCTTGTCTTTAGCTTCTCAGACGCAGCAGGAAGCCATACAATGCTAAGTGACGTGAAAAAGCAGCACTGTGGGTTCTGAGCCTGAGGTCCACTCTCTGATTCGAGGGAGGTTAGCCCCTGGGAGGAAGGTGTGGGCCAGGTTAGCAACGCGCCTGTGGCTGGGCTTCATGGGAGGCTAGACAGGGAAGGGGGATTGTTTTCATCCACTGGGGTTCAGTGCCCTAGACGCCGTGCTAGCTCCTGTCCTCACTCTGCTTTGACACTGGGCCACTCTTGCCCAGTAGTTACCTGGAGTCTTACGTGCTTTAGTGGATTATGGATCCTGGGTGGAGATTTCTGTTTTTGCTATTTTGGGGAACTTTGGCTGCCGTTTCTCCACAATCCAGAAAGCATCTCCTATTTTTCTGTGCCCATAAAGGTGGAAAGACTTGTGGTTCCTGTGGGTACCTCCTCAGATTTTTTTTTTGTGTTGGGGGGTACTGGGCATTGAACTGAGCTCCATCCCCAATTCCTTTTTATTTTCTATTTTTGAGAAAGGGTTCTCCCTAAGATCTCAGGGCTTTACTATGTTTCAGAGGCTGGCCTCAAACTTATAATCCTCTTATCTCAGCCTCCCGAGTTTCTGGTATTTCAGACATGTGCCACTGAATTTGGCTGAATAATCCTTTAGAGACATAGGATTATAATTTTATTTTATTTGAGAGAGAGAGAGAGAGAGAGAGA